TTTAGTAGCCGCTTCTAGCTTCTCGTGGCGGCGTTTGTGGCTGTGGCGTGTGGCCCGTGTGCGGCGACACTTAGTCGGCCGCTGTCGCGCGCTTCAGCCACTTCAGTAGCCGCTTCTAGCTTCACGTGGCGGCGTTTGTGGCTGTGGCGTGTGGCCCGTGTGCGGCGACACTAAGGTGGAGGTTACTTTCCCACACCGGCGCTCCAATTCGAGTAGGAATTCCGCTATGCCCTACCTCTCATAAATTGTTACTTAAATATAATAATATCGTCTACCGTCTCTGTAAGGTCATAGATATCAATCTGTTACTTTTAAAGTTTAGATTCCCTTATTTATATTTAAATAAATTTAGAGATACAAGCTGGTCTTAACTATTCAAATGACGCCAGAAGTTTTATTTAGAACGTTCTAGTTGTTGCGTTAGCTTGTCACTTAGGATTAAGTTCATTAGTGAGGTCCTCCGGTCTAATTCAGTTATACGTTTCCTTGTATTTCGCTGATACATTGCAGATGAAAGTTCTTCATCATCATCATCAGCCTATTAATGTCCCCACTGCTGGGGCACAGGCCTTCCCTATGGATGGAATAGGGAGATTGGGCCAAACCGCACTGGGCCCGCGTGGTGGGTCATCACCACGCGGGCCCAGTGCGGTTTGGCGGGTACTGCAGATGCAATGCGACCCCATAGGGAACATCTGTGCCCCAGCAGTGGGGACATTAATAGGCTGGTATAACTGATCATGATCTGAATCATGAACTGTGTTTACTATTATGGCCTTTTATTATACAAATATCTAGACCGAGACAATAATAAATTATCAAAAGATCATTTTCTACATTGATCCCAAAGGAAATTGAACCCGGTACTTCGGAAATTGCTATGCCCGAGATTGGCAGCAAACCACTCCACAGCGGAAGCCGGCCACGGTTTCCTTTACCTAAGTTGACAGTTTTAATATTCTCCTTCGATTCTTAATTATGGACGAGGAAAGAATTTTTATGAAGAACCAACCAAAGCCACGTCTAGTCGGTCAATTCAGTTTGTTATCGACTCAGGCTTTATTACATGGAAATAAGAGAGTTTTTCGTCAACTGTCTTAAGATACTGTATACTTACTGTATAATTATTTCGCTGTTGTCAAAGCAATGTGCAAAAAATAAAACTTTCAGATAGCAGTTAATATTTGGCAATATTACGTATACAGCATATTTTTAAGCAACCTCTGTTAACCGTTATTATGCTCAAGATTCGCGTAACAGTCTTTGTATTGGAAAATCAGATAGTATAATAGAGTATAGGTACTAATCATAATGATAGAAAATCAAAATCTCTAAAAAGTGCACATAGTAGATATTGGTTTGACAATGACAATTTGTTGTCTCTTTTATAAAAACGTTTGTGAAATTATCATATTATACTTGTTTCTTATAGAAATTTCCACTTGTCTTTTCGCCAGCATAAATGATCTATATACTAATCTTTTATTATGTTTTTTTATAGCGAGGTAGGCAAATGACTCTACTCCACCTGATGTTAAGTGGTGATAAAGTCCAAACGCGAAGATAGCTGGTACAGCAGTTACAAACTGCTATACCAACCATCCTCACCTTGCCGGCCTGCAAAAATGCTTCTTCACGTCTCTCTTAAGCGTGACGAGGTTACAGCCAGACTGATATACAGACACACATTTGTATTATTAGCAGTATTTGTTACAATACTGTGTCACGAAAGCCGTTTTAAAAACATACAATGCTTCTACTCTAATAGGTCATTTACGGGGCTCTTCTCAATAGATAGGAAAATTACGGGTTTCTGTTTGTACGACTGACCCTAAATGAGGATTTAATAAGACATAAAGTTAAATTGGGGATTACATGGGTTCGCAACAATTTGAGGTTATAATGAATTTTATTTTTAAGTCTTTTTAATTTGCATTTCTCTTAGGATTAACGTTTTGAAAGATAACGAGGTGCTGAGGTTTAGAGCGAGCGTAATTAATTAGATTTTTTAGATTGTTCTTTAGAATGGCGATCTATCTCTAGATCTCGGAATTGGAGCAAACTTTCGTAATAATACCTAACACCGATTTTAGTTATTTAGTTAAGCACTTACTTTTTAGGGTTCCGTAGCCGAATGGCAAAAAACGGAACCCGAATCGAATCTATAAGATTCGTCATGTCTGGTCTCTCTGTCCGTCTGTATATTACAGCCACTTTTTTTCAAAACTATAAGAACTATATACTATTGAAACTTGGTAAGTAGATGTATTCTGTGAACCGCATTAAAATTTTCACACAAAAATAGATAAAAACAATAAATTTTGGGGTTTCCCCATACTTAAAACTGAAACTCAAAAATTTTTTTTTATAAACCCCTATGTGTATATAGGACAGGTCTTCTTCGTGTGGGATATCTATAGAAAAATGATATTGAGGTTTCTAATATATTTTTTTTTCTAAACTGAATAGTTTGAGCGAGAGACACGTCCAAAGTGGTAAAATGTGTGTGTGTGTGTGTGTGTCCCTGGAACCTCTAAAATAAGAGAATGATAAAACTAAAAAAAATGATGTACATTACCATGCAAACTTCCACCGAAAATGGGTTTGGAGGAGATCTACTAAGTGTTTTTTTTAATAATTAATTATTAAAAAAAATACACTATTATTAAAACATCAATCAAAGTTACAACGAACTATTATATTATGTTGCTGCTACGGAACCCTTCATAGGCGAGTTGGATTCGCACTTGGCCGACTTGGCCGCTTTTTTACTGGTGAATTACATTCAAAGATACACAGGTTTTGTAACCTAGTACAATCTCCAGCTCTCTCAAAGAACTGCATTGTTTTACCGTTACTGTAATTCAATACCCTTTTGTAATTATAATGTTAGTTTGTAACTTTGTGAGAGAAAATAAATAAATCATTCATTCATTCATACTTTTTGTTAAACACAATAACGCAGTTGTACTGTGTTATTTTTATTTTAAAAGAAGACACACATTTTTTTTATTTAATATGGTAAAACAAGTTCATTGTCAATTTTGTATCATACAGGCATTCTCTATGGATGGAATAGGGAAACTGGGTCGTGACCCACCACGTGGGCCTATTACGGAATGGTGGGTGCTAATGAATGCAGATGCTGGCGAGACCAACGGCTTAGCATGCCTTCCGAAGCACGGTGAAGCTCGGTGACAATAAGTTTTTCGTCACCCATCCAATGACTGACCCTCGCGAAAGTTGCTTAACTTTCATGGCCGAATGCGCTGTATGGTGCTTGGACGGTTCGATGGCGCAGGTAGGTATATGCATGCATACCTATGCCATCGAGCTCCTCAACGTTGTATACCTTTATCTCAAATACACATGGTTTGACCAGGGCAATGAAAAAAACTGGTCAGAAGGCGCCCCAATCGCTATTTGGGGTATCGAAAATCATAGTTGAATTGTCAATTAAAGTCCACGACACTTAGATAAGTACTTTGTTCCATTAGCGTACCCGCAATATTTCGAACTACTAGTTATTTTTTCTGGTCTGGCCATACCAGCAATTTATTGGAAGTTTGTAGGTATCTGAGGTCAGCAGAACTTTAACCGTATTAGAGCAACAGTGGACAGTTTTCGATTCCCACTAGTCTAGAGTAAGCAATAAATATAATATAGTTAAAGTTGTTGGAGTTGACTTTAGTTCATGTGGGATTCATTGAATTTGAAATAAATAAATGTTTATTGTGACATAATATAACACTTTAATAAATATGAAATATAACTTATCAGTAGCTAGTGTGATCATAAGCTATATATAAACTATTTATTGCTAAGCTATATGTGTGACGTCATTTTAGGCTTGGCTAATCGATAAAGCATTGCAATAAAGTGACAATAGATTAAAACAGAGCAACACCGACAATGAGATGATAAAAAAAATCAATATAGGTATTTTTTTTAAATCATTTTTTTTACGGAATAGCAAAATCGCTGCCAATATTCCCAATATTCATCTTATAGCTACTATATTTTTTCATTGTATCAAATAGACTAACAATTAGCCTGCAAAGCGATCTAAGCTTGCAAACGCGTTTGATGTGCTTATTCGCCCTCTTGAACGAGTTCTCCCTGGATGAATGTTTGTGTTCGGCAGGTGACTATAGACACATTGAAAAGGCTTTTCTATTTCGTTATTTCTTTCATAAATTCATTTTTCTGTCAGATTACTAAAATTGCTACTAGTATTCATGTTAAAGCTAGAACACACTTGCAATTAATTGCAGTGCGATAGTTGTGCGGACTCCAAGAAAGTATACGTTTGCATGTGCGCCCACACTTGCTTTAGTTTCAAAAGGATTTATCTGCAACTTTATTAGTTACATAGCCCCGCAATTTTAGTGCAACACGAATCGTTTTCCATATGAATATATCAGAGTGCGCACATTGTACGATAGTTGCACGCAATAATCAGTATCGAAAAGGAGGAATGCCACCGCATCAACGAAATCCATATCGGTCTAAATAATAGGGATGATGACTGATTTTTTTTTCTTCGTTTATCAGGTAGTTTATCAAAAAGTATTGGACAAGTATTTTTTCTTTTTTCACATAATATAAACATTGCAGAGATATATTGATTTGAAAAGTCGCATGACGTCACGTTTGAGTACACTTATAAGTGAAAATTCACTCAAAAGTGACGTCACGAGCCCCTACTCCCAAACTTTGACGCGCTATAACTTTGTCATTTTTTGGTTGATTGCCCAAAGAAAAAATACGTGTCCATTATTTTTTGATCATCTAACTGACGGACTAAATAGAATTTCGTTTACTGTACCCCGTCATCACCCCTATTGCAGTTGCAATCATCTAATGTGTTACGTATGAGCAACAGTTGCACGACTACTTGATTATTTGCAAGAGCTATTAGTTGTGAGTATGTTCTAGCTCTTACTCAATACATGCAAAACAATACTCAAATGTCAAAAAATACATAATAGGTAAATTTATTAAGTGGTAGGTCCTAAAGCTCTATCGATTAGCCTGCACATAGATCTGAGTATCCTCCTACAGATACGTCTGATGTGCTTATTCGCTCTCCTGAACATGCTCTCCTTAGTTGAATGTTTGTGTTCTGATCTCATATTGACTCGCATACATTTCTTACTCCGACGATGTATCTGGATTTCCACACCTAGAGCTATAGCTGAAATAGATAGAACAAATTAAAGTATTCTTTGATTATAGTGAAAAAGGATTCCTATTACTACGCAAGGGTCCACTGTCCGTCATTCGAAGTTAAAGGTATGATAAAATACGTTGCGACTTCGAGACGCACTGAAAAGCTTTAATACACATTTTATTAAAAGAAAAGTTTGCTTTGATTTGAAACTCGTGGTAGACAGATCCATAGTCGTGTCGCCATCGTCAAAGTTCCTATGGAAGCAGCCAGTTTGTTCTACGTCCGGTAGGGGCGCTGCTTAATTTCCATAGAAACTTTGACGATGGCGATACTACTACGGATCTGTCAAAGTCGTGTTTCGGGTACTGATTAGACCAGGGATGGTCCAATTTTTTCTTATCGTGCCAATAGTTACTATCAGAATCTATGGCGGGCCAAGTTTTTACTCAGACCATATCGACGGGTGCAAAGTAAAAACAGACATCTGCAAAATAGCAACTTTACAGGAGAGCGAAAAGATATATATATATATAATGAGTGGACCAAAGACTCTAATATATTTGTATATTAAGCTAGTTTAGCTAATTTCTTGAAAATTTATGAGATTTTGCAGATAGCCGTTCTTACATCGTACTTTAAAAAATGCTAACTGAGTCAACTACCAGTTGGTCGTGTATACTCCGTCTAGTTATACATACTATCCATACGGATGTATACACATACATAACGGCCGTCCTTATAGTTATACATAGCAGCCTCAGTATCACGGCTATTATATTTTTTTAGTTTTAAAAGCCCATCAGTTTCCTTGATGTCCAGTTATTTTCTTATTCTTCCGAATTGCAGTTTGCGTCGTTCTTTATTCATTTTGAAATTGTAAGGATTAATGCAAATGGAGAATAGAATAATAACACCTCGAAATTGCTGCCGTTAAAGAAAAAAATCTTTTCTTAACGTAAAAGGTACGCGCGCGCCGCCGGTGATAAGTGAGCCAACTCCCTGATGTCATTTTGCGCGCGCTCGGAGCCCGCCTCGCGCCCCGCGTTGAAACAACCAACGTTACTTGGTCGCATTGACTTCGTACTATTTACAAAAACATGCGTAGATGGCTTTTTATACGTTCGAAAATTGATTGAAATAAAGTGAAATCTGCAAAACAAAATATGTCAGGTTGTGGCGTCTTGTTTGATTGGTAAGAAAATGAAATAAAAAGAAAAACGTGAATTTGCAGTTGACTTTATTTACTTTGCACCCGTCGATATGATATGGACACCTCTAGAATTAGTAAATTAAATAAAAATATAGCTCAGTAACGAAAGCCCCTCACCCTGCTGTTTAGCAGCAGAAAATATGTAGGTACCAGATTCGGCAGCGGGGCAAATGGTACTTTTTAGTGAGAAACTTTGATTATTATTGTTTGATGGCCGCGGGCCGGATTTCAACCATTCGGGGGGCGGAGATGGCCCGCGGGCTGTAGTTTGCCCATCCCTGGAGTAGACAAACTGACCATGTGCCAATTTTCATACAAACCAACTAACAGAAGGTTCTACCTTATAGTTAAGTAGGACTTTCTTAGTACCTCAATTTATATATGTATATGTTTATAATATAAGTTATAATATAGTAAAATTCTACTACATCTTTCAACTTTATGCAAATATAAATATCTAAGTGAACAGTTAAATTGAAATCCCCTCCTCTCTATTGTTTCGTTGACCTTACAATGAGCTTAATATTGTACTTAATCGTCTGCTAATTGGTCATAAGACTTTCCTTGCGAGGTTTTTAATAAAACCCATTTTAAAACTCATCTTTTAAATGTCTACTTACCAGCCAAGAGATGTCCAATGCCCAGCAAACAAAAGGCACCCCTCAGCATCCTTAATGAGACCGGCTCCAACCCCTTTGTGGGCTCTCCCTGCGTCTGTAATAAGAATTAAGCTATAGAACCGAGCACCGACCGCCTTTACATGGAAATGTCTATTAAAGTAAATATCTGTGATAAGTAATAATAGCAGGTTTATCTTGCTCTCTGATTATGTCTTTATTATTGAGATTTCTCAAAACGGGATTGAGATATAGAGCCGGTTGCGCGACGCAGCGGCGCGTCGAATCTCTGCGGTTGAATGTTCAAAGTACATTTTCCTGCTTTTGAATTAGATAATTTATAAATAAATATCTTTTACATTGGAATTTCTTAGATTTCCTTAATATGATGGAATATTAAATATTAATTAGATTAGGAATTCAACATTTTCCAAATCCTAAAAGGTAGCCAACCCATACTCAATTTTAATAGAGCAGATCAAAGCGACACTTTTCGGTAGTATGAGAGGAGTACACCAACATTGACTGTGCTCTTGGTGTGAAAAACATTTATTTTAAAATTACCTTATATTTTTCTGTGTGTAATGTTATCTGCACTGTTATCACTCCATATTAAAAAAATCCCCCTACGTGTCTATGTTCATGATGATCAAAAAAACAAAACCACGTACTATTTTCTATATTTTTGATATATAGACGGCCTCCGTGGCCGAGTGGTTTGTACGCCAGGTTTCATGGTGTCGCCGACTCGAGAGGTCCCGGGTTCTAATCACGAACATTTGTACTCCAGTCATTGATGTTTAATATGTATTGCTATATAAATATACTTATACACATATATGTATTTTATCCGTTACTCTAGTATCCCATACCACAAGCCTTATAATGCTTACTTTGGGGCTAGACTAATTGGTGTGAGTGTTGGAAATATTTATTAGAACTGCAGTGTGTGAACATGCATTAAGGGGACCCAAACCATTACATTAGATTTGATAAACCACAGATCCTTGCAACTGAGCAGCGATTCGTTCCTAGAATGATACGCGAGGCTATTGAGATTAAAAAATATCCAAATTTCAATAGGGAAGATGGTTGGTATGTACCACCAGCTTGGGAACCCATTATACAGGAGATAAAATCCCAACCCCGAGCACACACTGCAAGACCAACAGATACTATTAGTTCTTTTTGTTTGCATAATTTAACATAAGAAGGAGATAGAAAGCCTCTCTTGAGTTTGTTTCGCCGGTTCTTCTCCGAAAGGTCTCCCAATTTTGGAACCGGTGGTAGTTTACGGTAGTTAGGGTCAAATGAATAAACTCAAAATTACAAAAAAGAATTTTAAATAAAATACTTTATTAATTAAATTAAATAATAAATTCATACATAGACAATAAAACTTTAAAAATCGAACAATGAAATAACCGAACGCTCAATAAGTCTTTCGAAGTTGCTCGGCAAATTAAATAAAAGTTTGATTCTGACGATGCAGCCTGTAAAAGCTGCGAAACGTCAATAAATAAATAAAGTTTCGTGCATTAACCCGTGAAAAACTAGTTTTATTTAATGAATGATGTGCGTGAAAACCTAAGAAACAAATATTTATTTATTTATTTATATTCGTCACGATTTGTCAACTAATAATTGGCGTTAAATGGTGCCCAAAAACTTTTATCACACTCGCTTTTTTAAAGGAACTCCATTTGGTCTGCTGATTTGATGCATTAATTAACATGTTCTCCAAGTGTTCGCAGGGCAGTTTGATAACTTAATAAGTTTAAAGCTCCGAGTACAGTTTGAACAAGCAAACACGTTCGCTGTGTGTGTGACTATGAAGCGCTTTTTGCTTACTTTAAAGTTATGCTCTGTTAAGTTACTAAAGATTAAGTTGAAGCATCAAATGGACTACAGTTTTGGAACTGGAAACTTACTGATAACAAGCACAGGGGACTTTAGATGTTAAAATAACAATTAATAAGTTAGTAAGCTGTTAACTTAAAACTTTATTCGTTGGACAAAATTTAAATGAAAAGTGTCGTGCTTAATAAAGAAATCAGCTGTAAATTAATGAATGTCGATAATGCGATATTGAAGCTAGGTTGTGTAAGAAACTTACCAAAAATATTGTTATCTTCATAGGATTTTAACTATTTAATAATAGTTTATTTTATTTTTGATTGCAGGCAGTATGAAAATTAAATATAAAAGTATATACGCATTAAAGGGATAATGATGGAGTAAACAAAATATGTAATAAATGTATTTAGCGTAGGTTAGATTATGAAAAACTTATGGTTATTCTTTTCTTTTGTCAATTGAATAAAAAAATACAAAGATAAAGCGCGTCAAAGTTTGGGAGTCTCTACGGAGCTCATGACGTCCTTTCTAAGAATAAATTGTAACAAGACGTCAACGTCATGCGACATTTCAAACCAATATATCTGGGAAAAAAGAAAAAGTATGTGTCCTATACTTTTTAATTATTTACCTGATAGATAAAGAAAAAAAAGGTAGTTATCATCCCTATTGATGGTTGTATAATAATCTAATTACGGCGATTAAAGAACTACGTGGACTTAAAGAAATAGATATATATGGATACTAGCTGTCCCAGCGAACTTCGTACCGCTATAAAAAATAGGGGTTGGTGGTAGAAGGGTAAAAATTTAGGGTTGTATGTATTTTTGTATGATGTATCATAAAAAAATAAAAACCAAAAAATTGTCCAAAAATATTTAAGGATGGACGACGCTTATCATTTAGGGGGATGAAAAATAGATGTTGTCCGATTCTCAGACCTACTGAATATGCATATAAAATTTCACGAAAATTTTCGTTTCGGAGTAGTTCAATTACGCACACCGTGACACGAGAATTTTATATGTTAGAGATTAGTTATAAATTATTGTTTTTTATTCAGTCTCCACAACTTCATAATAACTTATAGCTTAGGATAATTATTTCATTGTGTAAAATACTTTTTTGTAAAACCATTTCCTTCATTTAGGTTATATTGTTTCAGGAATTTTCTAATTTATAATTTTCGAGAAATTGCGGTAATCCATTGCTGCCGAAATATTATTATTCACAAATCCAAGGGTAAACAACTCGAGGAAAGATTATATTTCTTAAATTATAATCTTAAATATAAAATGTCAAGGGCTGACGGACTGATTTTTATATATATTTCTTCTATCCATGTATTTAATGGCTTTCTTAACGCCTACTCCTATGTTTTCAAATTTTTAACTGGGTCAGGTATGCTCTAGAGTTAGGCAAAACAACGTCTGTCCGGTTAGTAACTATTCACATAAAATTAGTGACCCACCCTCGCTTATCTACCTTATCCCATACGAAGACTCATCAAAATCAGATTAGCGGTTGAAAGACTTTTTGATCTTAACATTATGTAATAATAATAAGTACAGCTAGTCTGCAATATAGTAAGGGCATAAGTTATTTAGTAAAAGTTTTTTGGAATTTAGTCGCTTTACATTAGTGAATGGTAGATATAATAATAATAATAAATAAATATTTCCAACACTCACACCAATTATTAGCCTAGCCCCAAAGTAAGCACTGTAAGGCTTGTGTTATGGGATGCTAGGGTAACGGATAGAATACATATACTGTACATATATAAGTATATTTATATAGAAATACATATTATTTATATAGATATGGTATGGCATAGAGAATAAAAATAACATATTACTATATTTACTTACCGTGTTCCTATTATTTATTAACAGTAGTTAATTATAGGACCCGTTTTACCTGAGACGCGGCGGGGGAGTCCCCGGTGACGTCACTGTTCTGTCTATCACTCTCTGTGACGGGCTCCGACCTCCTCGATTGTTCTGGCAAGTTCTTATATTCATCCGATGTCATTTTCGCCAATATACCAGCCTCGAATAATGTCATCAACCTAAAAATCACTTGCAAACGTTTACCTAGTAACCTTTAAGTACCTAAGATGTTGAAAAAGTTACATTTTCAAGCTTTTGACGTTTAGTATAATTTTGTTTTTTCCTATTATTTTTATTCGGTTATTTTACAATTTGTCCCTTAACTTATTATTATTATTATTATTAGTTATTCTTATTCAAATTTCAACATGTTTAATAATATACTGTCCGTAATCGAGCTAATTGATACAGCCAGGGGCGCAGAAGTCGGAAAGAGAAAGCATAGAAGGATAGTAAGGATAAAAGAAGGTATACAAGAAAATAGGGAGGTGAAAAACATTAAAATGTGACCTCATAAAGACTGCTCACGCTGATTATACGTAATCGATTCCTTGCATTCAGAGAAAAGCAATAGCACAGTAATTAGCTCTTTTACTGCTACTCTTGAGAGAAGTAGAGCATAGCTGACTTTCTGCTTGAATTGGAACGGCCGTCTACAGAAGTAATTTCCACCCTACCCTACCCTACCCTAAGACCAGTGAAATCATAGGACCTCTTGGTGCCGTTCTGTGCCTGTCGTTGAGTAAGATTCCAGGATATGAAGGATAGGCATATGTGCAAGTGATACACGTTGGTATCGCAATCGTCTTTTTAGGATATGGTGGCCGCGTTCTATCATATGGGTTATAAGTTCGTTTGCCACCAATTTTATAAAAAAATAACTGACAATGGTGGGCCATAGAAAGAGTAATTAAATTATTTCGGCTCTGGGAATGCTCCTTGAACCGTCGCGCGTCGGCCTCGGCTGCGTTTGACTTTCCAGTCGTTAGTACTAATTCGCACTAGACTCGAGTAGTAAATTGGGATCCATTCTCTTTATTCCGTATATTCCATAAAAAATGGCATGCGCTTAAAGAAAATATCGCTGTCAAATTCGTATTGATCTATCTGCCAATAATTCAATACAAAGGGACCACTTTGGGGTCTAAACCCTGACTAAAAATTTCTAGATTGAGATATTTTTTTTATTGTGGGACGCGTTTTAGGTAAATGTTAGAAGTGTAGTGTCTATGATTTTGTAAGAGACATTGTCTCAGTATGGAGTTTTATTATGAATTTACTAGCGGCCGAACGCGATTTCGACTGCGTTAACTTTAGCTCTTTGAGAATCCGATAAGAACCTTAAATTTTTCCGGGATATCTATGCCGGAAACTATATGCATATTTTCGTGATTTGGGGCGGCCCCCAACAAGGTGGAATGACGACATCGTCAAATGTGCTAGGAGCCGCTGGATGCGGATAACGCAGGACCGCGCATTGTGGCGTTCTATGGGGGAGGCCTATGTCCAGCAGTGGACGGAGAAAGGCTGATGGATGAATGGATGGATGGAGTGACAAACATATAAACTTTCACAATTTTAATACCTATAAGTAGGACTGTACTTTCTAATATTGGAGCTGCTCATACGCCAAAAAATTTTACGTTTACGTCAATGTGGTTTAATTAGTAACTCATCTCCTCTTCTCCAAATAACTCGTATTTAGGGAAGAGATCAGTGATTGTGTTTCAGTGTTTTATACTTACACGTTGTTGAATGTTTCCAAATACGGACTCCCTATTTGAAACGCTATGGCTGAATATCTTGTGTAAAGTTTCTCACTGAGGTGGAAGTTGTGAGAACCTGCGAAGTGCAAGGAAAATAATTAATCAAGTGTGCAGCAAATTCAGTTGAGATTTTTTATTTTTATTCATACTGAGAGATGTTAACATTTTTTTAATTTAAGTAAAGCGATCACTCAGCTGGTGTTCAATGAAGTAGTGTGCAGTTTAAAAGACAGTCGGTGCAGCAGAAATACGTGCCCTAAATTTTTTCTAATGTAGTGCAAAGGAAATGAGGTTTAGCTCTACCCTGGTACTCAAAAAAGGAAGGTAGAAATTTGTATAGGAAACCAATAAATGTTTATTATAAGTGGATATTGGTGTCGATTCTAGTGTGATTCTCTAAACTTAAAACTAAATTTAACATCAGTCTCTCCTTTTCATTCTGTATAGAGAATGACAGGGATGCACTGTTGTCAATTTTAAGTTTAGCTTTAGAGAATCATGCCAGAATCGACATCATTGTCTGATTGCAGCAAAAAATCCATTGCATTCTTTATCTCTCGCAATCTATTACGAGCTGATTTTGAAATCCTTTGTCATTAATACATTACTTAAGTATATAGATATTTTTAAGAATATTTTTCTCTCCCCCCGAGGATGGCGACGTGCCTGCGCGTGAGCGCCAACCTCACGACCACCTCCACGCTGCACATTAGGAGAGCGAGACGGACATATATGCCCGTCCTGTTCTGTCAGATATGGATGTATAGAGCGTTTAGTTACCGAATCTCTCAGTGTGGTAATACAGCGTCTCCCTTCCCCTGAGGATGGCAACGTGTCTGCGCGTGAGCACCAACCTTAAGCCCACCTCCACGCTGCACATTAAGAGAGCGAGACGGACATATATGCCCGTCCCGTTCTGTCAGATGTGGAGTATGGAGCGTTTAGTTACCGAATCTCTCAGTGTCGTAATGCAGCGTCTCCCTTCCCCCGAGGATGGCGACGTGTCTGCGCGTGAGCACCAACCTCATGGTCATCTCCACGCTGCACAGTAGGAGAGCGAGACGGACATATATGCCCGTCCCGTTCTGTCAGATGTGGATGTAAGGAGCGTTTAGTTACCGAATCTCTCAGTGTCGTAATACAGCGTCGCCCTTCCCCCGAGGATGGTGACGTGTCTGCGCGTGAGCACCAACCTCAAGCCCACCTCCACGCTGCACATTAGGAGAGCGAGACGGACATATATGCCCGTCCCGTTCTGTCAGATGTGGATGTATGGAGCGCTTATTTACCGACTCTCTCAGTGTCGTAATACAGCGTCTCCCTTCCCCCGAGGATGGCGACGTGTCTGCGCGTGAGCACCAACCTCAAGCCCACCTCCACGCTGCACATTAGGAGAGCGAGACGGACATATATGCCCGTCCCGTTCTGTCAGATGTGGATGTATGGAACGTTTATTTACCGAATCTCTCAGTGTCGTAATACAGCGTCTCCCTTCTCCCGAGGATGGCGACGAGTCTGCGCGTGAGCACCAACCTCAAGCCCACCTCCACGCTGCACATTAGGAGAGCGAGACGGACATATATGCCCGTCACATTTTGTCAGATGTGGATGTATGGAGCGTTTAGTTACCGAATCTCTCAGTGTCGTAATACAGCGTCTCCCTTCCCCCGAGGATGGCGACGTGTCTGCGCGTGAGCACCAACCTCAAGCTAACCTCCACGCTGCACATTAGGAGAATGAGACGGACATATATGCCCATCCCGTTCTGTAAGATGTGGATGTATGGAGCGTTTAGTTACCAAATCTCTCAGTGTCGTAATACAGCGTCTCCCTTCCACCGAGGATGGCGACGTGTCTGCGCGTGAGCACCAACCTCACGCCCACTTCCACGCTGCGCACGCGCTGCACCCGCTGCCGGCGCATCAGGCGAGCGAGACGGCCGTATATGCCCGTTCCATTCTAAATATATTTTAATAAAAAATGCAATCACGTTAAGGAGGATTGAGTCTGATCCCTTTCTTTTTTTCATGCCTAGCCCAACAATAATAATAATCTTAGCCGCAACCGATGAGAATTGTTGAATATTTGTATATTATCGTGTAGCGACAAAATAAATAGATTAAAAAAAAGAGTAAAGGAAAATCAGAAGAACAGTATAGGATATATATATATATTTACAAGAAATAAAGTATTAACAATTAACAATATAAAAAAAGGGGTATGGTGTGCGTGTGTGAAGTGTGGGATGTGAAGTGGAAGTGGTGAAGTGGGCGTGAGTCGTCGGCGATCTTCTCCGTTGAGGCTTGAGGGTCTGGAGGACGTGCTGCTGGCAGACGGGTGGCATTCCTGGGAGGCAGAAGCGCTCCTGTTCCGGCGTCTCTCGATACTTGGCCTGCTGGCCACTCTGGTGGTGGCTGGCGGGTGCTGCTGGTAGGTTGGTCGGCGGATATCGGCCGGTGGCAGGAGCTGGTGGAACGGCAGGTGTCGGTGGAAGGCGGGCTGAAGTAGTTGGAGGCTGGCCGAGGTAGCTGGAGTCCGGGCGGCAGTCCCGCCGATGAGTTTGCGAGTATGGTGAAGAGGACGAGAACAGTAGTTTAGAGTTAAGTAGTTAAGTTTAGATAGCCAATAGGTGCTGTAGAGCTTTGAGGTCTTTCTTGAGTCCCGGAGCAGTCGGCCCCGGGACAAGGCCTTTTATTAATTTAGAGCTCGGTAGCGAGCTAACAAAAGTTATTATGGCAACTTTTGCCGAAGAAATGAATGTAAGATCAGGGAGGCTCGGCCTTTTATAGGTTCGGAACCATTTAAAGGCACGGTTCGAATCGAACTAAAAAGAATCAAACTAGGTCGTCCGTGGAGGTTGAATAGGCATAGACGCAGTTGGAGAGAGTATCCGAGTCATGGGTAGCCATGGCAACGGATAAAAACATTAAGTTGCCACAATGCCAAGAAAATAAATAAACTAAAAATAGATAAAATTGGAGAAAGAGTAATGAAAATAAATAAATAACAGAATAAAGAGAAATGCCGGTAAGTGTCCAGCACTCTGGAATAGTGATTTTCAGTACAGATGGAATTATTATACGTATTTACAAAATGATGAATAGTGTGTGATATTTTTGAAATTGTGTGTTTGCAGAAATACATAATAAAATATATGTTTATGCCTGATGAATATCGATAGATGATAAAATGTGTGAAATGGAACCTATGATAGTCGAAACCATGGGACGATTCCTGAGGTACGTTACAATATCTCATACTAAAGTAAAGAAAATGGAAGTTAACAAAACATAAACCGGGTTGATTATGTAAAATTGAACTTTGCACAATAATTATTACTTATATAAGAAGTTATATAAGTAATAATTATTGTGCATTGAATAAAGAAACGTAAAAATCTAGGTCTTAACTTTAAAAAATCTAGTCAAGGGTCTCCTAAAATATGGATTGACTAAACTTTTCTACTCTAGTACGTACTTCGAGAATCGCCAAAGAAGAGCTGTGCCTTTCCACCACCAGTTCGTAACCTCGATCTCTCATGGCTTCCTCTAGGGCCGGCAGGGTCCCGATCGGCTGTTCCCTTGCAGGCCGTGCCAGTAGACTGGTGAGGTTCGCTGAATACATGTCCCCGATGACGTAGGTGGCTCCGAGAGAAACGAGCACTGACACTAGACGCGCTTTGTGGGTTTTCGATGGCTCTTTGCTTGATGCTAAAAGAGTTTTGGTAAAAAGATTTTTTATGTTTAAAGTGTGGTCAACAAGTATTTGCTTAGATACCATCAGGAAAGCCATATGGCTCGCAATAGTAAGCCATAGCCCATAATAGACGCTTAAGATACCAAAGCTATCACCGTTGCCTACCCTGATTCAATTCCATACTACTGACATTTGTATATCGAATATCATATATATATAAATATACGACATCTTAGTCATCAACAGAAACATAACACCGACAAAAGGTAGTGACATATTACTGTAGTATTGTCATAATGAATCCTATACAGGTATAGTGAGTGAGTGGATGATAATCTTCGCAATTTTCTTATTGCGACAGATCGTACTACAAAGATTTGACGATTTGCGCAAGGTGGCTGGCAGGAGCTGGATGCGAGTAGCCCAAAATCGATCTGAGTGGCGTGCAATTGAAGAGGCCTATGTCCAGCAGTGGACTAGGATAGGCTGTTGATGATGATGATACTACAAAGTCTGACTTAGTGCTAGACTTAGAGTCAAGTTAGTTATTAGTTGCTTACGGCTAACTGTAATAATACCTATGCAATATATCTGTGCACAATGATCAGTCACTAATTGCGAAGCTAGTATCTTAACACTTAGTCTGTAGTGTGTGTGGCATTTCTATTAGTTAAATTGTGGCAAATGAGGATCATTACTAGGTCAGCAAATCAACTTAAAATCAACAGACGTTCACTCCGGTCGAACTTTTGTAGCATCTCTACGCACGCTCGCGCCCGACCGCTAGAGCTCTGTGACGTCACAGTCACCACGCGGCCAGCCGAAAATTTGTTTGGTAATTTGGTCAAAACTTCGTCAATATTTGTCTAAGAAAAAAAATTTAACCACTGTATTTTATGGAATCTTTAACTCTATAAATCTGCATTATCAACAAAAATAGTTATGGATCCTCATTACAAAGTTTTTAAGAACCACAGACAATACCGTTGACCAGCACGGATAATAAATTCTCGAAAATCCTCTCCATTCGTACAACATTAGCAAATTTGATTTTTCTAATTTATGTGAATTGCAATAATTTGTGGGAAATCTTAAAAACTAAACCTATTGTTAAGTATTTTGACCACACAATAATTTCCGAAAAGCTACGTTATCTTTACTAAACGAAAATTAGGGGTTCGTCGAAAACTTGTCCAAGTCATAAAAGCGTAGGTCTTGTGGATAGGCAACATATATGTATACATTAATTCGAGCCGTGGACTTGTGAAACACTTGATAGAAACCAGATGGACATACTCGGTGCGCATTAAACATTCCCAAGGGTAACTTTACAATATGCGGGCGCCCGGGGTAAATCGAGTTAGGTCGGCCGAGCGTGCGAAACGAAAAATAGGGAGCAAGCTTGCGGCCTTGTAATACGATATAGGAGTGGACAAGTTCGCTTAAGTGTAATAAATGAACATGGGTACCTACTTACTTTAATTTGATTGACCAAAACAATTTTACAATATACACCGTGAACTTTGAGTTACCTGTGAAACTTTACCAGCTAATTCAGACATCGATAAAGATAATATATCCGCAAAGAAAAAAAAATCCAAAAGATTTCTCCACTTTAACTCACTATTTCTGCAATTATGAAATCTTTTAAAACAATTAATTGCTATAAATTGATTATATTTTTTATTGTTTTTAATAAGACCATATAAAAAATAAAGCAATAGCTGTAAAACTATATAAGTACTAGATTTTTATATTTTTACTTCATTTTTAACGGGAGTCTTGTTTTTGTTCTGTTTTTAGTACATGTTATTATAGCGGCAACATAAATACATCATCTTTTAAAATTTCCACTGTCTAGCTTTCACAGTTCATGAGATTCTGAGTTCTGGTGACAGACGAGACAAAAAGACGGACATAGAGTCTTACTAATAGGGTCCCGATTTTATCCTTTGGGTATGTAACCCTAAAATCGAACCTCATAAATATAGCGGTACATAAGGTCGCCACGTCAGCTAGTTTAATATTGATGCCTTTTATAGTGAGCTTTATAATTTGTAATAAATTAAATTCTTAGGAGCTCGATGGCGCACGTGGTTATCACTTTCGGTCTGCTTTAGTGTTTGCGATCCTAGGACCAGTCGTGTTAGGATTAGTGACCAAAAACCTATGATCTCGAGTTCCTCTGTGCTTCGGAATGCACTTTGGTTGGTTTGTTAGTTGGTTGGCACTGGGCCCACGTGGTAGGTCATGTACTCCATAGAGAAGGCCTGCTCCTCAGCAGTGGAAACATTAATGATTTAATTTTATACCGCGAGGCAGTTAAAAAAAATATTTAAATTTATGATGAAAAATATTAAAACGATGCAACGTTGAATGAATTATTTAACTTTCCATAATCCGGCCGGCAGACATACAGAGAATAATAAAATATCTGAATGTATTCGAGTCGAACAATATGTTAACCCTTTTGGGATGATTCGTCACATTTTTTGTGCATTTACTATTACAATATTTAACAGTCACATCACAATAATAAACGCGTTTCCAGGGGAAGCCAAAATACCAACAAAAATTTTGACAACAACAGCTTAGCGCATCGTACAAATCCCTGCGATTTATAGTATGCTTTTCAATTTTGAAATAAAATTTTCGTCAAATCTTTAGTAGCTCATACATTGCCTCAAGAATAGCGTAGTGGTGAACCAGCAACAGTTGTTCAGCAGCTTTAACTGGTCCCTCCGACGGCGTTGCCATAGCGACGGAGCGGCGATCACCACCCATAGTGCTGGACCTGTTACTAACACCGTAGCACATACTAGCGGCCATACCTATCAAGAAACGAAGAAAAGGTCATAATCAGATTGATTAAAAATAATAATAATAGGATGCTTAAGTAATGTGGGTGTTAAATAAAACATTGACCACGGAAGCTGAAAAGGAACCGTCTTGTCCCTCCGGCGGCGATGCCATGGCGACAAGGTTTTTCTCACCACCTATAGTGTTGGACCTGTCGCTAACACCGTAGCACATACTAGTGGCCATACCTATCAAGAAACGAAGAAAAGGCTGTAATCAGATTTAATAGGTTAAGCTAGTTAAATAATTTAGCCGTTAAAGAAAACATTGACATGGCTTGAGAGCAACACACTTCCAGGGCTCCACGGTAGGATAGGCAGCGGCGCGGTTACTTTTGGTATTACAAGCGTCTATAGTCTATGGTGACCGCTTACTATTAGGCGGGCCATATGCTTGTTTGCCACACAATTATCATAAAAAATTGTTCGTTCAACAATTTTGTTTCTATAGGATATAAATAAAACAAGTTTCAACGGTATAGATGCAATGATATATTTATTGATTGACGTTTCGCATCCTGTACAGGATGTGTCGTCTGAACAACTGACGTCAATAAATAATTAAATCAGTGCATATATACCGTTGAAACTTGTTTCAATTAATCAGTGGTGTGCGTGAAAACCTAAGAAACAAATCTATTGAATATGCTAAAAATTCCGGCACTGCAAATATGAGTTGAAATTATCATTATTTTAGTTTATGATCACGAGCTCTATTTCTCGGCAAATTTTTCGGATGTATTTTGTCACTTCATAGAATATCCACGAATCCTCCAATCCAATCCAACCTCCCATCTGAACGGTCTGTTGATGGCTAAAGTTTCGCTCAGTTTAGCGGGGGCGTGTGTGAGGAAAGCCCCGGAGTCAGCAAGAGTCAAGAAGAAACACTCGACGACCTGAAGACGCCCCCAAATCATCATTAAGTCACTCAAAAAGTCGGCTTTCTGTTGGTTTCAAATAAAAGTTTTTTTGTTACCCCGCGCGATATCCAGGAATACTGACCTCCCATCGGAACGGTCTGATGATCGCTAATGTCTCGCTCAGTTTCGCGGGGGCGTGTGTGAGGAAAGCACCGGAGTCAGCGAGAGTCAAGAAGGAGAACTCGACAGCCTGGAGACGCTCCCAAGTCATCGTCACGTCGCCCAAGAAGAAGTCGGCTTTCTGTTGGTTTCATACAAAATATTTTTTATGTTAATAGTGTGGTAAACATATTATACAATTACAAGACTGATGGTATGCGATCATAGCCTATAGACGTTTGCGTCACCAAATATATCTATCGTCGTTGCCTAATCTGACCCAATCCTCTACACCGTGGACCCTGGAACCATAAGAGAATATTCTTACATGTTTAATAAAATCCGAATTGAAAATTGAAGGATTCTGTTTACTTATACTTTCATGGTGACTCACATTATAGCAATTAGCGGGGTTGCTACCATCTACTTACCACCATGTTTTTTGCGTGTACCCGATATTTCAGCACTGTTGCGATGATGGACGTTTAGCGTACGCCTGCAGTGTGTTAACTCGAGCTGTGTTTCCGAGCACTAGGGGATTTCTCAGAACTGCACCCAGGTCGCGCGCTGCATCATCGCAATAAGTAATGGCATTTCCCGTTGATGTAGCCCCAAAATTAAGGCAGAAACAAATTTATGAAACGCGACGCTACCCCACACCTTGTGACCCGAATTTTCTATGACGCGTCGCGTCGCGTCTGATGTTCCTAATGCGATTCTGATCGAAGAAAATAGTACATTTTGATTTAACTCAACATACGTGGCGTGGCGTCGGTTGGCGTCGCGTTTCATAAGTCTCTTTCGGCTATTACTTGGAAGCAATCCCGCAATAGGTACTATAAAGTATTGGTGAATTAAGCAATAATTATCTTGTGGACATCAGAGTGTGTTTTAAGAAAAATAAAACACCTATCTGCAGAATATCATTTGGGTACTAGATCAACAAAACTGTTTAGGTGTTCAAACGTTATAATAAGTCACATAGGTATGATTTAAGGAACTGTGCTTAGTCCTAAGAGCTCAATTACTCAGAACCTTATAATTCGAGTAGAAGACCAAAAAATACAACCATTCTAAGAAATATTGGATCGGATACATAATTGAGTAATTGATTCTAAGATTCGATTAGACAAGATTACAGCTACTGAGTATAGATTTTTTATCAAACGATGTATTTTTGCAACGCATTTTCCGTCTAGAGACTTAGAGATAATGTTTCCGTATTGTATTCGTTCGTCCGTATTGTAAATATAGGCGTTATTCTATACCGAGACAGGAATAAATAGTCCCATAGTAAGCACTGTAAGGTATGCGTTATGGGATATACTTGGGTAACGGATAGAATACATACTGATACATATATAAGATTTTTTTTTTAATACATAACATTTGCCCCACCAGAATTCGTACCCGGGACCTCCGAGTAGGCGACACCTTGAAATCCGGTGTACAAACCAGTCGGCCAATGAAGTCCTGAATTGTTGAGTTAAGTAAATTTTATGATTCTTGTATAATTTTCTAAACCTATATTTAACAACAGTATCTACATAGTTATCATGGTATGCAATAGAGAATGAAAAAAAGATACTGGTGTCGATTCTGGCATGATTCTCTAAACCTAAACTTAAATTTGACACCAGTGTATCCTTGTCATTCTCTATACAGAATGAAAAGGAGAGACGGATGTTAAATTTAGTTTTATGTTTAGAGAATCATACCAGAATCGATATCACTGCTGAGAGAACCACGCCACATACTTACACGTTTCCAAATCAATCCTAATGTTCCTTTAAAAGTACCATTGCCTGATATGCTGGCACCTTGACTTCGGTCTGGCGGATCGTAATATCTGTACCTGTTAAAATTAGACAATTACAAGTGATGACTTTTTTACGGCAAATCTTACAAACTGCAAATCCATACTAATTTTACTAAATGCGAATTCTTCACGCTTGAACCGACGAGTTCATTTGATGAAATTTGGGAGGTATAAAGAAGATAGTGTGATTTCCGAGAAAGGACATAAGGTTGTTTTTATCCCAGAAATCTTTATTTAAAGGAGCTAGAAGTTTGTATGGGAAACCAATTTACCCACGCAGACGAAGTCGTGGGCACTCGCTAGTCTGTATAAAAGGCAATCGTTACTAAATGATCTATCATAGTACATCTCAAACCACTGAAAGGATTGTGCTGAAATACATATGGCTATTATAATGTGTGCGTGCGCTAAAAAAGGATTTCCCAAAACTCACCCCCTAAATGGGTAAAACGGGGGTTCAAAATTTGTATGGGAAAGCATTGCGCGGGCATCCACTACTAATTCTATAAAATGTCATTTCTAACGCATTGTTTCAAATATTACCTGAAGTTAAGCTTCTTAGATATAAGGGAGAGCAGTTTGTCGTCTCGTCCACCGGTCACGTTCACCGTGGAGTCGTTGTAGTATTTCACGAAGTGCCACGGCGGCGCCTGTACAAGCCGAACACGGATGGTTATCGTGGAGTTAGACAATATCTTTCTACGTACATCAAGTTGATTCTTTGGGGAAAAGCGAGTAAGAGGGCACCAATGTACCATGGTATTGTCCATCTAAGTATAGTGCGAATCAAACTTTACGGCGACTGTGAACTTAGCGCAAGTTGCGGCGCAGTAGACTAAATGTAGGTTGGTGTAGAGCCCCTAAGGTTATCGTGGAGTTGGACCATATCTTTCTATGGTACAGCAAGATAATTCTATGGGGTAAAGCGAGTAAGAGGGCACCAATGTATCATGGTATTGTCCATCTAAGTATAGTGCGATTCAAACTTTACGGTGGCTGTGAACTTAGCGCAACTTGCGGCGCAGTAAACTAAATGTAGGTTAGTGTAGATCCCCTATGGTTATCGTGCAGTTGGACCATATCTTTTCATGGTACAGCAAGATAATTCTATGGGGTAAAGAGGGTAAGAGGGAGCCAATGTTCCAAGGTATTGTCCGTCTAAGTATAGTGCGATTCAAACTTTACGGCGGCTGTGAACTTAGCGCAAATTGCGGCGCAGTAAACTAAATGTAGGTTGGTGTAGAGCCCCTATGATTATCGTGGAGTTGGACCATATCTTTCTATGGTACAGCAAGATAATTCTATGGGGTAAAGCGGGTATGAGGGAGCCAATATTTCATGGTATTGTCCTTCTAAGTAAAGTGCGATTCAAACTTTACGACGGCTGTGAACTTAGCGCAAGTTGCGGCGCAGCAAACTAAGTGTAGATTGGTGTAGAGCACTTATAGCTGTGATTGGCAGCGATCTGTCACTTCTGGCTGTAGTTCAAGTTATGGTCGGCTGCGAAGGAATATGGAGAACCACGAAAGGCTTTCGAGAAGCGGTGAGATTATTTGAGAAAAATACTATACAAGCCTTGGCCACAACTAGGCATTGGTGGACTTATGTATACAATCTCTTCCAGGCAACCCATGATCAAAAATGAAATAAGTAATAAGAACAAAAAAGGGGGAAGGGTGCAATAGCAATATTATAAAAATAAAATAAAAAAAAAGGTTATTATTATAAGATGCATATTTATATTTAAAAAAAAAGGAAACAAATAAATAAATAAAGAAAGAGGTATGTTCAAAGTAAGGATAATACTATTATGTTTAAAATTTATCTGTGATATATTCTACAAATGTTATCTTTTCAATTTTAACTACCCCCTTTCAGTACCCTTAGCACGAACCAATATCGAATTCGTAACGTTTGCGAGTCCGAAATGTCATTGTCAAAATATGTGTACTGATTTTAGTTCTCGTTACGTACTTTGTGGCGCTGCTGTTCAAGTTTCCATACAAAATTTTACATTGGCATTTCGGTTTGCAAACTATTCGAATTCGATTATGGTTCGTCCTAGGGGTATAGAACTGAGTTCTGCGAATGTAGTCATGTAAATGGGTGTCTATCTCATCGTGGTTCAATAAATTATTACAATGCTTATGAATAATAAATATTTGATCTAACGTAAACATTGTAAGGTAGTGGCAGCAATGACCGACAAGAACCAATTATCGATTATCGATATATACATATATACAGATAGAGCTAAAGAAGTTTTACTTCAGTCATGTGGTCATAAGTTTTCTCGTTTTCTTTTTGTTAAAACTGAAAATAAGAGTAGGTTACCGATCACTAAATATGGTAACTCCTTGCCGGTCATTGGTACCACTACCTTAACGATGATTTAATACGGAGCTTACATGAAGTACTGGGACATCGAAGACTCTGCCTTTGAAGTCTAGGTATACTTTATCGGCAGGCGGTAATACCGGTGACTTGTATAGCCTCCCTGACCACCAGTTCACCATGAACAGATGATGCAGCCTCTCAGGAGTCGCTTGGTTGTAATATATACGGAACCTGAAGTTTTCAAAATCTTTGCAATGTGTCATTCTAGATTGTACGCTGTATTACTCTTCTTTTATATATAGAGGTAGGCAAATGACTCTACCCCACCTGATGTTAAGTGGTAATAAAGTCCAAACGCGAAGATAGCTGGTACAGCAGTTATAAACTGCTACACCAATCATCCTCACCTTGCCGGCCTGCAAAAATGCTGCTTCACGCCACTCTTAAAGGACCCCAGATTATAGGAGGGAGGGAACACTTGCGCGGGTAAAGAATTCCACTTACAAATAGTACGACAAAGAAATGAGTCACCAAATTTCTTTGTTCGTGTAGGAATAGTGGTCACAGTAAGTCGATGGCAACGTAGGCCAGCGCGCGTGGTCCTCTGAAGAAAAGGTGATGGAGGGATAAGGCAGAATAACTCCTCAGAACACTCGCCGTGGTATAGTCAGTAGAATGCGCTTAATGATGCCACATGGGCTGCCCTGTTCCACTGATGATCAATTTCTATTTATAGCCTAAGAAGCTTGCAATATCATTGAATGTTGTTATTAGTGCATTGCCTATTCTATCTCAATCCTCTACATCGAGAAACCCTCATAAATGATCATCAGGTGATCACTGGGCTATTCTTGATTACTTGTTATTTGTAAACTTGACTAGTCTGTAATTTTTTATTCCATATAAACTAAGATGCTCTAAGCATAATAAAGCATGATGAGAACAGATCGTTGTCAGGTTCACGAATAGCAAAAATACGAATAGCCAAGTGAAGTGCCGGAATGATATAGCGTTATTTGACTGTGTTACTCTTTAACAATGTTTTATAAGACATCGTAAAAGTAGGTAGTGAAGTTTATCTAGAAAGGTATTAATAATCAACTCTATGATTTTAATGTTGTTAGTATCAACAAACACTATTGTCGGTATTTAAAAAAAATACAAAAAAAGAGAATTATATGAAATATTTGTTTTTCTGATGAAACAAAAAGAGCTGATAAAATCCTACTTTCACATAGTAAAGCAGTATAAATGAAGTAATTAATTAAACGTAAAGATAACATTTATTCAGAAAATTATAATTTAGGTTACAGTTATATGAATGAAGTGTTTATGAATGAAGAATTATATCAATTATCATATTAAGCTAATGGGGGAGCTAAACCGGGAATTTTGGGATTGACTCAAGCGCGCCAGTAGAACTTCACCTTGAACCCTGTGAATAACTCCCACGTCTCCTACCATGCCAGTGGGAGTACCTAAATCCCCGTAAGTCTTATTATTATTGTGAAATTGTGACAGAATAAGTCCTGAAAGTTCAAATACGAACATAGCTTTATCAATTTGTATCCAATAAATTGTGTATTTTCCTTGGCACTCATAAAATATGTTTTGGCCAACTCTCAATCGGCGTTCCACTCAATCGAATTACCAACTACGTGATAGTCAGACCTTTATATTTTCCACAGCGACCATTTCTACGTTATCACAATGGAATTCGGATTCTGTTACCGAAGCATAAGGTGCTTGTGTGAGTATATTGTTTTCAGTTTTTTGAAGTTCAACGAGCAAGAACGTAATTTTCAGAAATACCTTTAGGCATGTACTGCAGGGCAATCAAGCGTTTGTTGTCGTCGGGGGGCGAAATAGGAAACAACGCCACAAAGGTTGGTCACTGACAGCGAATTTTGGAATGGTTACATTGTAAACATGACGTTTGTTAAATTTAACGTCCTCCATGGCCGAATGGTATGTACGCCGGGTTTCATGGTGTCGCCGGCTCGAGAGGTCCCGGGTTTGAATCCCGGTGGTGGCAGATGTTTGTGTGTTGAATACGAGCATTTGTACTCTAGTCATGGATGTTTAATATGTATTTCTATATTAATATACTTATATATGTACTGTATATGTATTCTATCCGTTACCCTAGTCCCCCACAACACAAGCCTTACAGTGCTTACTTTGGTGCTAGGCTAATTGGTGTGAGTGTTGCAAATATTTATTTATATGTAATAAATCATAATAATTTTCGCGCTAATTACAGATTGTAAGTACCTATCAAAATATAATAGAAACTGAACATCTTGAATGTATTGTATTTAACCAATATTAAAATCAATAACTTTTAAGGCTGCTTCTCTAGTGTTTTAATGTGTGTTAATTAATTTTATATTGTATAAGTAAATATAGGTACATTGTGTGTGTATGTTTTTGTTGTAATATTTAATTCAAACTCTCCATCAGTTGAACGAAGCTGTTTCGTTATTAATTTTAGTAGATACTAAAACGTAAAATCACATGTCGATTTTTTATAGCCATATTATTGACTAAATTAATTAATATGAAGGGCACTTTAACATTTTGGTAATAAGTGAGATAACATATATTTGTTTAGTAACTTACATTAACGATGTATGAGACGAGATTGTTAATAAATTTTGTTTATTATGGCTTTTTAACCGTGAAAACTAAAAAAAGCTGGGCACAGGCGAGTCGCTAACGAAATGTTCTATTTGCATGCTCAAATTAAATAAATTCTTTACAATCATACTAATATTTAAAAATTTAAAAGTTTGTATTTGGATGAAATTTGGTACGCATCTTGTTTATGGCCTGGATTGAGTACCTATTTTAACAATAATAAGTATTATTACACATAAAATAGTAATTACATATAAATATTTTCTTATGAACACGGAACCTGCAAAGGTTCCGAAACGTCAACAATTATGTCAAAGCAATATAAACCTTATTTACAAACGCTATAATATTTAATTACTTATAATGGTCCATGCTAAAACTACGTTCACCGGTATAATATGAACGCCAGTTGCCATTGATAATGTGTATAATAAATCTGATTATTAATTAATTATCGAGTAAACAGTCACCATTAAACATAAGTTGGTGCATCGTAAATATTGATTTAACGCTGTAACGTTGTTTCAGGGCTGTTGGTGTATTAACTAAATTTATGGTTGAAGATAGATTGTGTGTTGGGTTGTTATAGGCGTTCGATATTGATTGCTAATGATCTGTACGAACCAATATCGATTTCGTAGTTAAATTCAATCTCGACACATAACGTTACGTACGTTCAAGAAATCGCGTCAAATATCAGGAAGTTTTGTATAGTTTTGTTTTGTATTTGAGCCCCACAAAGGACGTAATGAGAATTATGAAAGATACAGAAACTATATTTAAAATAATAAGATAAACATTATAAGATGCACACACACACATACACACACAACACACACACACACACACACACACACACACAACACACACATACACACACTCACACACACAAACACACATAACAAACTTCTTTGGCTATTCCATTGAATTAATAACTTAAGAGTAACTTAACAGTCCTCTGGATTAATAAATTGTTTACTAAATGGTACACAACTTTATGAATAGGGTGGAGGGTTGATTATTTGAGACACAGGATTCATCCTAGTTCAAGTGTCAACCCACCATAATCTGATCAATACGTACCTTTTATTTTTGGTAAAAAAAAAGGATGTTTCTTATATCATTGTTTTTATGTAGCCATTAATACCAACATTGTGATTATGGTGAGAAATAAAGGTTATTATTATTATTATTAATTATTAATCTTCCATACAAAACTTCTTCATATTTGACGCGTATCGAGATCGAATTCAACTAATCGAATTCGATATCAGATTCGTGCTAAGGGTATATGTGAGGTAGGGCATTTTCGTTTTCGAATGGTTGGAGAGCCTGTCTGTGCGACGTGAGAATCAATACTACATCTTACAGAAGAACACAAGAAATGAGACTACTTTTTGGGGTGCTTTATTTCTATCGGTGAGTGGGATAGGAGTTCCGTCCCCGTGGCATGAGCACCAAAATATACATTATATCACGTTTTTTATCGCGTCCAAATGTCAAACTCCATAGTAATTTGAGAATTGGGTGTGATAAAAACTCGTTATATATCATATCGCGGTGCTCATGCTGGAGGGGCTGGGTGTGAATCGATCTCATTATCAGACTATTGATATCCCAATAGCTTCGGCACAGACCTCCCCTGTGGATGGAAATAAAACGATTGGGCTATGAACAACCACGCGGGCCCAGGGAGGATTGGTGAGTGTTAACGCCTGCTGATGGAGTCGGGACCAACGTCTTACCGTGTCTTCTGAATCACGGAGAAGCTTGACATAATACATTTTGGTCAACCATCGATATTATCGGCTATTGCGAAAGTTCCACGTTCGAAGACCCAACGCGCTAACCACTTGCGCTATCGAGCTATTCCAATAACTGTTACTTAATACTGTTGGCCATAGCACAACTGAAGTGCCTAATTAGGTGTTTAACTGGTCTTTAAGCGTCATACCTATGGCCTGCACAAACGAAGGACTTTTGCTCGTGGAGGACAAAAGTCCCTGAATCGTGAAAAAATGTTCGCTAAGGACTTGTCACGGACTCAACGCACACGCTGTGCGAAAATTTGTTACCCAGAAATTTAGAGAAACGCACGCTACGGAAGAAAACGTCCTGAGATTAGGTTTTAATAAGATTTTTTAGCGAGGAGCTCGATGGCGCAAGTGGTTTGCGCGTACGGCTGCGATCGTTGAAGTTAAGCAACTTTCGCAGTGGTCGATCATTGGATGGGTGACCAAAAATTTACTACCACGAGCTCCTTCGTGCTTCGGAAGGCACGTTAAGCCGTTGGTCTTGGCTGCATCTCTCATCATCTGCAGTCGTTAGCACCCGCCAATCCGCACTGGGCCGCGTGGGGGGTCATGGCCCAATCTCCCTATTCCATTCATTGGGTAGGCCTGTGCCCCAGCAGTGGGGACATTATTAGGCTGATGATGATGATAATGAAGACTTTTTAAAATAGTGTATACTGGGTCCATCACTTAAATCGGATTGCGAGCAACGTGGACTTAATTAGGTGGATCCAGGAAGAACTAAATTTTGGAGGTTCGCCGTGTGTGTTGTTGCGCCTAGACACATGAGTTATATTTTTTCGGGCACACCCGCGTGCTTTTGTCCAGTCCGGTCTCTCGGTGTCCTCGGTTGCTCGGGGGACTTTTTGTACACAGTACTTTTAATCCGTCACCTGCTTTGCTTGATGAAGTTGTAAGCGGTCTATTTTAGCGGACAAAAAAAGCAGCGGGCAAACTCGTCTGCACAGTCCATAATATTGACTGGCCTTATGTTTTCGTGCCTTAGCGACCAAAATATGACTTATATTTAAAGTCTTATATTACTCCAGTACTTAAAACATGAGAATTTAAGTTACTTACACACTTTCTCTTGGATGGGTGAGGACTGCTACTCTCATGGCTTCTTTGATGGTGGATAGGAACTTCTCACTCACGGGGCCGAGTGGCCAGAAGAAAATATACAGGATTGTGCGGTGAATCAAGTTTGCTTCTGTTAGCTAGAATATAAATATTCAATAAATAATAAAAGATCAATTGATAAAATGTTCAATTATCACCTTTCGAACACGGACAAGTGTGAGCCGGTCTCGCCAACCAAGGGTTAAGTACTTTGTAGGTACGCAACATAAACGACTGTATCCTTTTTTAACATTAACTTAGACGTTTAATTTTTTCACAACTTCAAGGGGCCATATACTTGAGTATATGGTTTGAATTTTGTCTCGATACTATGATTTTTTATTTTATACGTCAATGATCCTGACACCCTCACACGTTCCTGAAATACAGGATCTTACCAGACTGACGAGCAACAATATTATCCTATAAAGGTTCTGTATTTTCCTTTTCAGGTACGGAACCCAAATAAAATAAAAATATAAGTACTGACGGGTTCTTCCCGAAGGGAGAACCTGGGGGACGTAGCTGAAGATACTAAAATGAAAATGCTTATCATCTTTAACTGGATTTATTTGAATTTAGTAAAATACAATTAATTATGATCAACCGATCGAGTCTGTGCCTGAATTCAATCTGTCTAGAACATTCGATATGAGACAGAATGTTCTCATATTTTAATCTTTAAAATAATGATATTTACTTTTAATACAACTGCCAGCCAGTATTTCATAAGCAAATAGTTTATATTAGCAAGGAGGCCGTAACGCGACCGGTGTTACAGTACCTACATCAGAGTAGAGACCCAGTAAACTGTTTCAATGCAGGTAAGTAGTACATTTAACATTTTTCGTTTATTATAATGAAGCGATGTCCACGGATAATGTGTTAATTTGTGCTACTAGATTAGCTGAGCATTTTAAGCGAACACGTGCATTCGATATATTAATATCTATTCCCGTTTAATCAAACTCACATTTAGAACAAATTATGTTAACAATGAAAATAATTTACTTACTTGTTAAATATATTCTTTTACTTTTTTGTTATTGTTATTTATTTTTGTATTGATATAAATCAACAAGCTTCATTTTCACAGGGCTATTTAATATTACTAGCAAACAAATAACGGACCACCTGATAGTAATTAAGACGGGAGGCGGGCAATGTTTTTTGCATTCAAAGGTTCTCGACTTATTCCTCCTTGATTTTTATCACTACAGAAACGATTTTTATACATAAAATATGATTTTACTCATTCGTTGCTCCTATGTCCTACTTTTTTTGATTAATTGTGTTGTAAAGAAACTAGAAGCCCTCAAAACTGCTAAAAATAAGCATTTTTTATCACCAATAAATACTTCTAGTGAGGAGATTCAATAAGCATTTACAAAAAAAAACAAAACACAGTGTCGCCGCACACGGGCCACCGACCACAACCACAAAACGCCGCCACCGGCATATTTCTTGTAGTTTTCATACATTTTATATGGACTCGCCACACACGGTACGCCGGTGGCCGCCACACGCTACAAATCGTCGTTGCTTGCTTCTTGTGGCCCGCACCGGCCACTTAATGCGCCTGTACAAAATGCCGCCACACGTCACTCGCGCGATTCCCCACCCTTCTCTCCCTTACCTTAGTCGGCCGCTGTCGCGCGCTTCAGTCACTTTAGTAGCCGCTTCTAGCTTCTCGTGGCGGTGTTTGTGGCTGTGGCGTGTGGCCCGTGTGCGGCGACACATAGAGTTCTAGTACTTATGCTTACTTATTATACTATGGGTAAAATTTCTTTTGCATACATCTAATTTCCGAGGAGGGAATCGTGGAGAGCCTAACCTAGAATTCTGCAATTTTTATAGGCAATTTTCAGTGTTAGCTACTGGTGTCCCTATCGCACGGTACGTGCCAATGCGCGACAGCAATAGGTTTTTTCAAATACCTCTTTCTCAAATGTCTCTCAGTCCCAGCCGGCGTCCACTCTTAACTTTCTTAATTACCGTAGCCTATGGATGCTTGCGACACCAGTCCCCCTAGCATGAGTACCGCGATATGACATATCGCTCGTTTTTATCACGCCCAATTGTCAAATTACTATGGAGATTGACAGTTGGACACGATAAAAAACGTGTTATAGTGTAACTTGTGGCGTTCATGCTACGGGGACAGGGGTATTTCTTACTTTCCCCTTTTATCAATCGCTATTCTGCTTATCAATTGCAATTTCATAAGTCTGTTTAATAATTGTGATATAAATGACTTACTTGTGAAAGAATACTCTCGCATTCAAGAGGCTGGCAAAGTATAAGACTCGTTCTTTCTTCAGACACGTCGAGAGCTTTTTTCAGGAAACCATAGTACTAGAGCAGCAGAAAATTAAGTCGTATTAAATAAAACAGCATAATTTGAAAAACCTCTTCAGGTTTCGTGATCACAAGAACGCGTAATAAGTCTGCGACTATTGAAATTCGTGAAGGTTAAGTAGGCACGTATCACGTAAAATACCTAATAACCCGAGTTCACCGACATATAATTAACTGTTTGACAGCGCAAAGAGCCATTTAAACCAATTACGGAAAAGTAGGGCGGGCATAGCGGATTTTTCACTCGAATTGGAGAGGACCAAACCTTCACCTAATAAAGGACAGTGAAATAACCACTACATTTTGTTGGTGTTATGTTTCAATCTCTGTTATTGTTATTATACACCGTGAATTTTGAGTTATCTCAGAATTTTTTTGGAGATTTAGAGAATGCAGACAATGATTTTGATATATATTACCGCAAAAATACCCGAAAAATGTCTCCAAGAAACAATTTTAGTTGCAAAAAAATGGGAATTCATTTAAGATCAACGTAATTTAAACGGATAATATTCCATACCTTTTTACTGGTCGTATAAAAATGTGCGCCGTTTATTTTGTAAACGTGAAACGTACGGATGCGTTCATGCGTACGCGTAGTCCCTCGATGAGTTAGTTGTTAGAACGCGCTATCCGTACTCAGCTTTATAAATCAATATTTTTGTAGTACGTAAGTTAACTGTTTATATCTGTACCCCTAGTACAAACTATTATCGAATTTGAATAGCTTGCGAGTGTGAAAATTAAATGTCAATGTCAAATTTTGTATGGAAACTTGAATAGCAGCGCCACAAAGCACGTAACGAGAACTAAAAATCAATATACATTTGACAGTGACATTTTGGACTCGCAAACGTTACGAATCCGGTATTGTTTCGTGCTAAGGGTACTGTTCTCACTGTTTCTATTTATAAATACAATTTTTAACTTTTTTATGTAACTAAAAGTTCATGAATACAGGTACACTGAACTCGATACCACGTTCGGACCAAATTGATATCGGAGGTACGTTAAGGTTAAGCTGTTGGTCCCGGCTACTTTTGCAGTCGTTAGGATCTACCAATCGGCACTGGTCCCGCGCAATTGGCCATGGCCCGGTCTCTATTCCGTCCAATGAAAAGGCCTGTAGTGCAGACATTAGTAAACAGATGTTGATGTTTCTTACAACATGAGGGAGTCAGGGTTGATCTAGATACTCTTAGGGTTGGATTTTTAAATTCATATGGGACCAACATCTAGGTATACCCTTTCTAATAAAAAAAAATATCACAATCAGACTACTCTGTAAAAAGTTATTTATTTTTATTTTATTTTATTATGTGTGGTCTTACATTACGATCAATGAGTGAATAATCAATCATTCCCTGTATTCATACTCTTAGGGTTGGATTTTTTAAATTCATATGGGACCAACTTCTAGGTATACCCTTCCCAATAAAAAAATAATTATCAAAATCAGACTACTCTCTAAAAAGCTATGCGTTTCGAATATGCAAATTCACATTGTTTCTGGATACCAACACACCAAAACCTAGATATTTTTTTTTGGTGATCGAATGATATCGTGTTAATTTAATCAATATAAATATATACAGGAACAATGAACCTTAAACTAAAAACCTTAAAAAATATAATATAATAACTAAATATATTACTAAAAGGAGTGCCTTTAGGCAAGGTTCCGAAGATACTGGCAGCGTTCCCCCTTTGAATAGCTAGACTAACTCTTTGTCCGAGGTACCTGCCGGCTCTTCGGTCTCCAGTGATGTCGACTAACCTTTTTGATATTTCCTTAAAAAACCTCATAGCGCTAGGAATAAAAATATATACGTTTCGAGTTGAGAACCTTATCGGTTTTTTACGTCGGTTAAAAAGTATGGGAGACGATAATACATTGACCATCCAACTAAATGTATATTACTTAGTAACATTGAATTAGTAAACACTTTTTAATCTCCATGAAAATAGGGTTTCATTGTAACAAACATTTCTCCGAAATATTAATTTGTTTAAATATAGGACTTTCATAGAATTCTTAAACGATAAAGCACCTTGGGATTGATAATATCTACCAGACGAGTTTTACTTTGCTCATTTATTAGATCTTTTTAAACGAAACACTTTAAAAAGATATATTAATAAGAATAAATTAGTATACTCAGGTATAAGTAATTGTACATAATTACATTTTACTAATTTGATGGGATTTGACATCAGTACATAGTTTTGAGTACTATGGATATTATCATTGTACATATAAGTTGTACAAGGTCTCCCGCCGTAGAATTGAAACCTATTGCGTAGCTTCTGTCGTATTATACTGGGGCAACGCCTATACCGGATTTGCCCCGCGGAATGCTCTACGCCTCCGCGCCGGTTGGAAGAATCTGCGCGCGTGACGCGCCACCGCGCCAGTTGGCAGAATCTGCGCGCGTGACGCGCCATCGCGCCCGTTGGCAGAATCTGCGCGCGTGACGCGCCACCGCGCGCCAAAGCTTGGTTAGTGTTTTTTTTTGAGTATGTATGCTGTTGGTCGCAGATGATTTTTGATAGCATCACCGGGTTCGGGACGGCGAGATCCTAAAGGAAACGGGGATCCCGCGGCTTCGCGCTAAGCAGCTTAGAGGGTATTCGCAGGACTTTTTTAGCGGATATTATACCGTAAAGCTCTCGTAAGAGTTGCGGGGTCCTCAGTGGGCAGCCACTGTGGGCTTCGTAAGACTTGCGGGAGCCAGGTGTGAGGTCCGTTCGGCGGTGTGCCTCTTAAAGGCGCCGTCGTCTGTAAATAGATTTTTTACCTGCGTATTAAAAAAAAAAGGGGTATTCCTGGCGGATGGCATCTCCCCACGGAGAGAGTCTCCTCTCCGTCTGGAGCCTCTAAACCACTCGAAGCTTATGGGGTCGGCTCAACTAGACGGCGTCTCTAAGACTCGGACCACGGCTCTAGTTAGCCGCTGTCGTGAGAGATTGGCCAGTGTGTTGTAGATAGCGGGAATACTATAAGAACTGAGATTCTTGCATGCAACGTTTAAATCTGCACTCCGTCACGTGTGGGTTACCTGCCTTAAGTGCCGACCCGCGCAGGGAGAATTTATGGTCCCTGGTATTTAGTTTCATTCGAACTTTTTTTCTTTCGCTATCCGGGCGAATGCATTACCTTCCCTGCTGCTGATACCTTATGGAAGTGTCGAATCACTTCCAGCAGCTCCTGGGCTGTATAGCAGCACCGCTTCTGAGCTGGTAGAGACCAAGCAGTGCCGGAGGAGACCCGACACTTCCGATAAAATGCGCGATGCCGAGTGCGGTTTAATGACACCGCGCACCGCTTACAGGTAATGCATGCTGCTTGTGTTCATAAAGCTAACGCTTATTACCAAAGTACGGTAAAAAGCAAACTAGTTAATTCACTCAAATTGTCAGATGAATTGAGTTTCGTTTATATCGCAATAGCTTCTGTCAAGTCACCATCAAACGCTTCTAAAGGCAATATTGAATCGGCATAGTTTCTGTAACCTTTGTCATTATCAAATGTATCTCACTCAACCGATGAGTTCCCGATGTATTTTCGAAAGGTCGAATGAGTCCTGACATCAAACGACCGATTCTCACCCTTCACGTAATGTAGGAATTTGCTTTTAGACAGGAGTAGGTATTTTGTACCTGAGCATATCTCACCTTGTCTCTGTTGTGTTTCGTGCCAACATCTAGATTAATAACTTGGATGTTATGCTCGTTCAACAAGCTAAACAGTTCGAATATGTCTTGGGATCTGAAAAGAGATATTTGACTGTTAAATAATAATTTCTATGCGATTAACTTTTCCTCTCTTATTTTAAGAGATGGCAGGTTGAGGCTGCTATTAAGTTTACATACAATAAAAATCCATCATGTGATTCATATTTTTTATAAATTATTTCTCCCCCCCCCCCCCCCCCCATCTTTAATGAACTGAAATATACGACAATTGACGACCCCCGTAGTCGAGTGGTTTGTACGCCGGGTTTCATGGTGTTACCGACTCCCGGGTTCAAATCCCGGTGGGAGCAGATGTTTGTGTGATGAATACGAGCATTTGTACTCCAGTCATGGATGTTAAATATGTATTTTTATATAAATACTAGCTGACCCAGCGAACTTCGTACCGCCCTAAAAAAAATAGGGGTTGTCCAGCGGACAAAATTGTGAATCTAAACCATTCTCAGATCCCCTTGAACACACACAAAAAATTTCATCAAAATCGGTCCAGTCGTTTAAGAGAAGTTCAGTGACATACACACTCACAGAAGTATAAAGATACTTATGTCCTGTGTATGTATTCTATCCATTACCCTACAATAGTATCCCTTAACACGAGCCTTACAATGCTTACTTTGGTGCTAGGCTAATTGGTGTGAGTGTTGGAAATATTTATTTATTTATTATACCCCTTTCTAACCGACTTCAATATAGAAGAAGTATATAAATATACTTATGTCCTGTGTATGTATTCTATCCATTACCCTAGTATCCCTTAACACGAGCCTTACAATGCTTACTTTGGTGCTAGGCTAATTGGTGTGAGTATTGGAAATATTTATTTATTTATTATACCCCTTTCTAACCGACTTCAATATAGAAGAAGTTTTTGAATATGTCAGAGTACTTCATATTGGCGGGTATGTTACGATTTTCAAACATGTTTGTTTGAGATTATCACATTTCAATTTTCCTCTAAAAAATTCAAAAGAAATGATTTTATTTATTGGTTTTATTTTATGTATTTCTTGATTCTATAATCATTCTTTCTTTCATCACATACAAAAATAGCATAAACTGTACTGACATCCTTTTTTTATTTATTAAAGATTTACCTTTATATAATCAATCTTTGGGAAATTACCAATAATTTTAAACCTGAAAAGGATTTAAAAGGTAAAAAGCTACCCTTTTCTAATATTAAATATTTTATGTTAAATAAAACTAGTTTTTACGGGTTAATGCACGAAACTTTATTTATTTATTGATGTTTCGTAGCCTTTACAGGCTACGTCATCAGAATTAAACTGCTAAAAAGGCTACGAAAGAAAACTAAAAGGCTACGAAACGTAAATAAATAAATAAAGTTTCGTGCATTAACCCGTAAAAACTAGTTTTATTTAATGAGTGATGTGCGTGAAAACCTTAGAAACAAATATTTCATGTTATTTATGTTTTTTTGAAGGAGCATTTCATATCAGTGGAAGAGCTTTTACCAAAACAGACATTCTAATTCCAATTATCATTATAATCTAATCAATGGAAGAGGGACGATGACGGGTAAAGCCAATGAAACTCTTTTTAGTCCATCTGTTAGATTATAAATAAATAGACACTTATTTTTTATTTTGTCAATCAACTAAATATAATGAAGATAAAGCTTCCTTAATTTTGAGAGTAAGGGCTCGTGACGTCACACCTAAGTAAAAATTGTACCAAGACGTGATGTCATGCGATATTTCAAATCAATATATCTCTGTAATGTTTTGATATCTTTTGATTATGTGAAAAAAGAAAAAATGAGTGTCCAATACTTTATTATAAAGAGGGAGGAAAAAACAGGTAGACATCCATCATGCCTATTGCACAATGATTATTTCCAACTAAGTCTCACCTGATATTAGTCGTTTCACCTCTGACAATCGTGATAGTTTTGGCTGGAAGTCCCTCTGCTATGTCTCTGATAGCGACAGAGAAATCTTTAGGTAGCTTGGTCATTACTTTGGACATAATTTCTTGTATGTCAAAAAAGCAGTTTACCGCATTTATTGATAGACATGCCACTAGTAATAACTTTATAGTCATATCTGAAGTTACATTAAACAGATATCTAGGTCTGTTAATTTCACTATGAAATCAAAAACATCCAGCAGTTCTATTCTGTAAGAAAAAAAACGAGTGTGCTCATGACCACACGACTGAAATGAAACTTCTATATATATATATTAATGTACATATACATATTGCATTTACTAGCTATAAGAGAAAGAGAGAAAGAAAACGTGCACGCGCACTGCTTTCACTTGTTTATATCCCCCTCTCAACTCCCGTTTGAATCACACGAACACATTTTTCGTAACGCGTAACGCATTCTCCAGCTTATCGCCCAAGTTAAGCGTGCGTAAAGAAGTTTCACTTCGAAAACTAACTTTTTAAACTTATTTTAAATCTCACTGTAGATTCCCATATGAAAAGATAGTTAGAACACGAATACGGTGAAAAGTTAGTTTGTTCTTACGAATAGATACTCACTTTTCATTCAGCATTCGTACGTATCAATAATTATTTGTATCGTATTCAGATCGAGTGCAACGAATGAAAGGCACTAAACCCTTTCAGGGTTATTGTTAGTTTTTAATAAAACATTTACCAATATAATTTCTGAGAACACCGTCAGAATTATTTTTTAATAGCTTTAAAACTATGTCGCCGAGGTGTGACCGATTCATTTAGGACACAAACTTCACAAAGTTCTCAAAATCATAATGTCGACCGAATTCAGTCACCGAGTTCTCGCTATCTAATTAATGTCGATCTGCGCGCTTTGGCATCTCGATAAACTATTTTGAATTGAACTTTATACAATTGTTCCTCAAATAATGATAGACAAATCGTTAGGAGTATCGAGAACCTCAATAATGCTGGGGTATAGATTCCTATTGAAAATCAGAACTATTCTAACTTGCTTCGATTAGCATTCATAAGAACTGTCACGAAATTGATATGCTGAGGGCATTTATAGCTGAGACGAACGCTTATTAATAATTCCCGTTGTAAATTCTTTATCGAGTCATAGATTAGTGTATTATTATTATTTCTGTAGTTTATGTTTGAAGTTTTTGGTGATTAAGTACCTATAAATGTATAGAATTTAATTTTCCACACATATTTTGAAGTGAAAACTTCTTTAGCGGCGTTGTACACTTTTTTGTAATGGGTAAAAATGTTAAACTCGCGTCAGGACACGTGGCGTAACACGAAGACAATAAAATTGGAAAGGTTGTTGAATTTCAATATATTGGACGAAACATAGTCGTATTATAATAATTTTATCGTAATAATTCTCTAATTAGTACGTCCAGGTGGCAGCTTTATTGTGAAGAAAATGCAAGATAGGTGAAGGTGATGAAAGATGTGGTCTAGGTGCGCTTAAATGTGATTCATGTAAGTTGATTTTTCTGAGAGATAAACTTTTTAATGTAATATAAATTGTCATGTTTGTGTACGATAGCGCATTATTGTATAAATACTGTATTCTACCACATAATTGATAGTACTTTATTACTGATACTTAAAGCAATTCGTGCAAAATTATTCCCTAACCATTCCAAAATATTAAAAATGCACAACGTTAATATTCAAGCTTTCACTTCTGCCGGCACTCCCGGAGTGCACCCTTTTTTTTAAAGAATTGAAGCAAATAGGATTATAATAAAACAGCAAAACTTTAACCGATAAACACGTTAAATACGTTTTATACTCGACCAATGTATTATTTTTTCTATAAGAATCATTTTTGCCTATATTATTTTCGGATATGTTTGAGTAAGTACTTTTCGGTCGTTTGATTTGAATTCAGTTATTTTGGGAGGGCGATACTGTTTATCTTTTATGTAATGGGATTATTCAATTCCCATTTTCACGTTACTACGTGTATACAGAGCTCCATTGTAGAGTCGTTGGAAAAATAATCTGGGTAGACAACGAGCAAAAGTATGATACTATGCTTTCTATGATATCGCGAGCGACTTGAGGCTGTGTCGACTGCTGTTTTATGTAAAAAGGATGGCAAACAAGCATATGGCACCCCTGATGGTAAACAAATACAAACGGCTACTATAGCCTATAGACGTTTATGATATCAAAAATATCACTCGCACCATTGTCATAGCATTCCAAATCCCCTTCCCTGTAGAGCCTCTGAAACATACTCACCGATAGAAACAAAAAAACAGCATAAGATAGTGCTGTTTTATAGACGGGCGCTCCAATTCGAGCGGGAATACCTCTCCTTAGTGGAATATGATAGTTTTTCAAGACTTCTAAGAGCAGTAAGTAGGTTCTCAATTTCCCAAAAAAATATATTTTGGTTCCGTTATACTATATATTTGGGCGCTATCCTACATCCATCAACTTACTGTGGTCACTATTCCTACACGAACAAAGAAATTTGATGACGCATTTCTTTGTCATGCTATTCACAAGTGGGATTGTTTGCTCGCGCATATGTTCCCTCCTTCTAACGTTCGGAGGTCCTTTATGAGAGGCGTGAAAAAGAATTTTAGCAGGCCGGCAAGGTGTGAATGGTTGGTGTGGCAGTTTATAACTGCTGCAACAGCTATTTCGCGTCTGGACTGTATCACCACTTAATATCAGGTGGGGTAGAGTCATTTGCCTACCAAGCTATAAAAAAAATACTTTGGCAAGATTAAGCGTACAATCCTGAAGAAAGTTGTTTGAAGTTGACCCGTCTACACCCTATATATACTCTGTGGTATCGCGTCGACACCGGGCCCTTACGGATTGACATTTGACGAGCTAAGTGGCTACTTTTCATCACAGGGGCCTATATGACCGATGCTTTAAAAGCTTTGCCGTGTAACTTTCAGAGCACCTTTCGGGTTGGGCTAGGTTTATACTATGTGATGCACATTGAGTATTGATTAGATTTCAAAATTGCTTTTTATCAACATAGTACTTTCTCTTTTCATATTTTAAGTTAGTTCGATACATTGGCGGAATTGTGAAGGCATAATCAGAAGCCATCAAAAGAAATATTTTTTATATTTTAATGCGGTCCGTGCTGGTCCTATTTTGTTCTAGGGAATTAAAAGTTTTTTGAGGTGAGTGGAACTCCCTCTGTTTCAATCTAGAGTTCGCAATACGCCAGGAACATTTTCTGAGTTAGTTTTTATTACAGTTGGAAAGAAGGATTAAGGAACTTCAAGCGCTGGCCTGAAGTGTTGTGGCAGCAACTACAGCCTGGCAATTTGTGAAACCGGGTGAAGGAAAGCTGGAGGCTGAATGCCCTGCTAAAACAGGAGGACGTTCAGCCGACAACCTGGTAAGCACCTAGTCACCTGAGTCACTCGGGATAGGTTTTCAAAGGTACCTTCAAGTTAAAGAAAATATAACTAGAAAAAATTCCACGCGGACAAGGCAGCAGACGGGATTCGAACCCACACCCTTCGCAATCCGGGCGAATGCACTGACCAATTATGCTACCGCGGCCCTCACGGACCGCCTCAAAATTCTTCTAGCCATTCTTAAGCTGCAAGGCAGCGCCATCTCTTCGCATTATAGGTAACCCACAATATCAAATGAATACTTTTACAAGTATTAAACATTTGAATGAAGTAATAGCAATTATAGTTATAATTTTTATTATTTAAAAGCATGTAACTGCTTGATGTTTAAATCTAAAGAAAATATAACTAGAAAAATATACCTTTAAGTATAATACCTTCAAGTTGCTAAGTCTACACGTTCTTTTTTCAGTGACGGGAAATTAAATTATATTTTGTTTTGGTTCAAAATTTGATTTCGCCAGAATACTGGGTATGCTCACCTAAATATTCGGCACCAAAAAGCGAATCACATGAGGTCGGTGCGTTTTATACTTTAATTAATTTTAATATGAACAGTGGTATCTCCATTTGTTATTGTTTTTTTTTGCAAGGTTTAGACCAAATTATTTAACAATATAGCCGTTCAACCTATAACATCTTTAATTTTAATTTTACATCCTTAGTTTTTTTTTTACTTTGACTAGTAGCTAGCGGGCAACATTCAGTGCCTACTGCTACTGCTACCTGTGGCACTATCCTTAATTTATTATTATTTATATTTATTTCTTTTCTAAAGCATGTACGATACTATTGATCATAGCTAAATACCCGTGACTAAATATAAATAAATATATATATTTACTCCCTACTCAACATACAGAGTACAGTATATATAACATTACACATAAAAAAAATACCCGTGACTGATGAAAGCTCCATTCGTTATGAAAAGAAAATATTGAAGATGCAGTAAAATTGCATTCCCACCTAGTTTGGTAAACATATATTATTATCATTTCGATAGGGTCGTGGTCTGCTGATATGAAGCGGTTTATCAAGGATATGTCGAATCGACTGATTCTCTCTTCGGAGCTGGCAGCAAATAGCTGCTAACTTTCTTCAGCTGCTTGCGCAGAGAATCAGTTAAGCCATTCAGCGAGGTAATGCTGCCAGTGTTCTGGGTACCATGCCCCAAATTGGAATTTTGGATGACATATTCTTCTTGTGAAGATGTATATAAATATTTTGGGTTTAATTTTTAATGATAAGTTTTTAGTTTGATATTGTTGTGACATTTCGATGAATATGAAAAAAAAACTGGTTATTCAGTAGTTAATGATAAAACAATGGTCGATATTATTTTGGGTAGTAAAAAAGAAACCGCAGAACTGGGGAATAATTTTCCGTCCAGAATCCTAAATAATGCCTACAAATTTACAAAATATCAGACCTCAAAAAGAGCTTTCTTGTTAAAAAAAAATCAACTTTTCCTCACATTATTCTATACGACAATTCCAATTACGCCATATAAGACGGTGACAGTTATTAAGGCCCGGTGGGAAATCCTTGAAGTGGAATATTCAGTTACCGTGTAGACGCGGCCTTACACGTTACGTGTTGGCTTGAAAGCTGTCAGAAACCCTTGAATTATTTACTGGTTCGTAATATCAGGGACTGGCTTAATGTCGTTACGGCATCGAGGATATAGACGAGGGCCGCGAGTAACGTGCAAGTTAG